CCAAGGATATGCCAATAAGTGAAATTAATCACGGTCCTACGTGGCATATCCATTTAACAACAGGGGACTTAATGGACCAGTACACCGGGGTAACCCCCTACTCTTCTTGAAGGATGTACTGGGTTCTTTAAAGTGCACACGAGCCAAATGCGTACACTGGGCCTAACGGTTTAAAGTCTTTATCCGAGAAGACTTGTTCCACTACCGGAACCATTGGCGAGTGAGCTGTTCGAATCAGCGCCGATATTCACAACCACCATCATCATTATCATCACAACCATCATCATCATCACAACCACCATCATTACCATCATCACCACCACCACTAATACTTTGTGGAATGATGATTGTTTTTTTTTTAATGTTGTACTAGTTTTAAAAATCCATAATACAATTAAAAAATTTAAATTAAATCATGATTAAATTATTTTTTTAATCATAATGAAGGACCATCATATTGATAAAAATATATTTTTTAAAAACCAGACTGCTTTTCTCTCCCCTAGACTTTTTAATATTTAAAATTTGAATTATAAAATATAAAAAACATCCGTGCATTTCTTACTCGTTCAAATCCTGGAATGAAGTTATCAATGACTTCCTGATTTAAAAGACGGAAATAACAAAGCTAGCTTATGAACTATCACTCAAGCAGATAATGTGTCCCTGATTGGTTGCTTCTTAGTGGTCCTAGCCAATCACGATGGAGATTGATGATAAATAGGCTTTGGAATGTATAAATACACTTAAGAGTGTTAGAACTGTCCACTACTCATCTTCTTGTTAGCCATAGAAGAGGGATTCTACTCAAAGCTTTTCATGTCTACGGTATTACTACTGGATTTATATATTCATAATAGGAGTCACTTTCCCTGAATAACAGATACAAAAATAAACTCATGATCAAAATGGTAAGTGATACATTCATGTTTTCTAATGATATATTTTACATCAGTTTTAAAATTGATTAGTTTTTTAATTACATTAATATTAAGATATATTAATAAATAGTAATTACTTAATTTTTCTATCCAGTGGAAAAAAATAACTAATTCTCAAACATGCCAGCAATACCATGACACTATAATAAAGTTCCATGGCAACACTCAATTGGTCTTTAAAATGCATTCATACATTAAGTCTTATATTTAGTTAACTGGATATAAGTAATGTACTTATGTACATAAGAGGCAAATAAGTGAGTGTACATATGTAATGCTTGAGTAATACCATAGACATCAAAAAATTTGAGAGAATCCTTTAGATTACTGTATACACTGGTTGTTCTCCATAATATCAGTAAGTATTAAATTGTACTTATTTTACTATATATAACAGGGACAAATAAAGTAAATCTTGCTATATAAGGCCACAGTGATATTGTTAGTATTTGTACATATTTTCTATAGGTACAACTGCACAAAACAATATACAGTACAGACTTCATTTCTCACATATTTTGTTACTAGCCTCCAAAGAGATCCACATTTTTTTTCGAAATCTGCATCTGTAAGTGGAAGAAATTAATCTAGTACAAGATTTAAAGGCTCCGCAATCTTGAGCCAACAAACGTACACACGATTTGATGTGAACTGTGATTGGCTCCGTCTGACTGTACACTTCCTCCTGTTAGAAGCCTGCTTTCTAGACCACAGCTAGGAAATACTTTCATTTAATAAACATCGGACTGAGCAGGCAGACGTGGATGCCGCCAGCACATGTGTAATTTGCACAAAAGTCTAAAAAAAATTATTATCATTCAAAATGTACGCATCTGTGGATCTTTTTCAAAAGAATGAGGTGAGTGGTACAGAGTTACAAAGGAAATTCTATAGGCCTATTAATTGACTTTAATTAATTCTGTTAATGTGTTTTCAAAATGTTAGTATTGGTAGGGTTTAATGAGCAAGTACCAAATCTGTGACTACGAGATAATTAGTTCAGTAAATATTCATTTCAATTTTATCAGCAATTTCCAGTAAATATTGCAATTAAATTTTCTTGTAAATCACTTTAATGCTATTTTTTTTTTATAAGAAATTTAATTGAGATGCTGCAAAGAATTTGGACATTGCAAAATCCCAATAACAATTGCAATTCCATTATTCAAAAGAGCATCAGAAATTTGGGGAAAAAAACAACAGCAATTATTAAAAATATTATTAAAGGTGTAGGGCCACTTGCCTTCCTATAGACAATTCAGCAAATGGTCCTGAGACTTACAGGTTATATTTCTAAAGTACCTGTAACTTTAATTTACTAGCTTATTTGCAGTAATTTTAGACTTTTAGCAAATAAATGCTCATGACAAGATAAAAGTCTTGATATTCAGACAGCTGGGATGGTGGCAAAATCTTTTTTTGAAAGCAGATTTGAAAGTAAAGGATGATAGGGGTATATCACTGCAAAATTTTTTTTTAGTTAGCAACAACCACGAAAAATCTTATATTATACAAAGTGTTTATTTTGCCTGCTATAATTCAAATTTTCCTATTCTGAAAGATGGAATTGAAATGTAATCATCTCTAGTGTTAATGAATAGGTGTTTTACTGGCAAAGTATCCACAGCCGTTACTATAAGAATTAATTTAATGTAAATTTTAGTGAAAGTTATGTCAACTCACGATGCAAGTACCGTACCGTACATGCGTAAGCAGAATAAGTAGTACTGTAGAAGTTTAAGTATGGAGACACCACAAGTACTGTACTACGTTACATCATTTCTCGTGAAAGACAAAAGTTTTAAAAGCAAAACAATCGTCAAACACTTTATCAACAATAACAATGGTTAAGGTCAGGCAGGAATACTAAGTACTCATGTATGAATGAATGGTATCTCAAATCTTTCTTTATTTTTCCGTACTTAACAAGAGCAATTGTGTCTCAAAAATTTCTATAAATATAATATTGATTGAAAGAAAGATTTGCACATTAATTTCATGCATTAGATTGAAACATTTGCTTGCCTACCATCCTTGGTAATCATAGAGATGAAGGGGAGGAGGAAGCATAGGTGTTTTACCCCTCCACTTGCTTTGATTGCCTAATCATTACTAAAACTGGTGAAAAAATATTCTGCTCATCCCATCAACATCCTTTTGAAATACTCAGCCTCCTCATCAATAAGCACAAATCTAATCCTTCACATTATTTTGTTTCTTAATTTTTACCTTTTTTTTCCTCCTATTCTTACTTCCTTTTCTTTTTACTTAAAAAAAATTTTTTTTCTCAAGTAATTTATGGTTTACGTGCAGAAATTATGTCATGTACATATTGGATTGACAGATGAATACGTCAGGACTCTGCAGGGGTCATTAACCTGAGATTAAACTGGGATACATGTGCAGGCGGATATCATGGATCTGTGTGGGAACCAAACTAATCCTGATGATGAAAAACCCTATTATTTTTATCCACTGTTAATTAAAAGTTTACTTTCTAATAAGATATTTAGTATATGGGGCTTGCCATGTCAAAAGCCAGCATCAGTGACTAAAACAAGAAAGTTGACATTTTAATAATACAGTATATATATTCTCCACATTATAAGCTTTTAAATGATATGTCACTTACTGGAACCGATTTGCCAAAGTTATGATTAAAAGTAGCATAGCTTCTCTGTACTAAATATACTATACTATCACATTCTTATGTTAATCAGTTTAACATTTAGCGACAGTAAGCTGGTTTTGGAATTGCAAGACTCATTTTCTATAATGTTAATTTAATCGGTAGCAGCATTACAAAAGATTATTGTATTACTATCGGCTTTTAATTCATTTTATAATTTTATACTATAATTTTATTACTTTTAAGTTGTCAGATAACATTAGTTAAGAAGTCAGGATGTGGTTTGAAAAACACTTAGTAGTAAAGTTACTATATAATAAAATGCTGAAAATTATGTTCTTAACTATGAAAACATCATATACAGTATTTTGTAAATGACAATATTAAGAAATGATACACAACTGAATGTTTCTTTTATTTTTGATTTGACTCTTTAACATTAGCAGAAGATTATCATAGATGAACACATTATTACAATGTTAATCCACCTCATTGAAAAAAAAAATGTTTTTGAAAGTCAAGAATAATTTATCCGCTTTCCAAAGGTCAAATAATCAGGCAGGAGACCTAAATCTTAAGAAACGTTTTTTTTTTAGGATTAAATTCATTAGTCATTCATAACAAAAAAAAATCTTTGTGACCTGATTTTCTGAACGGCAAAAGGAAGTACCCAGAAAAAAATCAGCCCTTCATAATATCTAACATATATTCAACATAGAATTATATTAAAGACTTTCATTTTATTGAACTTTTGAATTAAGAAACTGCTTTTGTGTAACAAGGGTGGATTTGGTAGTGAGCTTGAATGCCAAGCCCTAGGCATTTAAACATTAGTAAAATCCCTGTTTGTTAGTTTTAGTTACAAAGAATAATAGGTTCTACATTATGTGCTTAAACTTAAAAAAACTTTTGATTGAAGTTTTGTAATTTGTTTTTCTTTTATTTTCTATTGTTATAGTAAACAAAGAATTCATATAGTTATATATTTGTTTTGGGGCAGCTGATAAATAAAACGTTAAAAGCGATTTATTGGTTTAATCTTCCACCAACAATATCTGTTTTGGAATACTTCTGTGTTCTTTTGGTCAAATTGACAAATGAAATAAAATGAAGGATAATTCATCACAATTGTTCAATAGAAAAAATAACTAGTGCCCAGTGAAGTTCAAATAATAATGAAATTATGATTGATAAATTCCTTGCAATTTTTTAACTTGCAAATCCACTTTGGAAGCTGACATGCCTTTTCTTCGAATTTGGTCGAACAAAGTTTAAACTTATTACACAATCGTTACCATCTAAACAAATTAACAAATACTACTTATTCAGGTCACTTAGAAATTGAAAAGATAACTTTCAAACAGAAATTGATTTAAGAATACACTTGAAAGATTTGTAAATTTGTTTATTATCTTTTATTTTTTCATTAGGGAAAAACTACTGGAAGTTACCCTAAAGAAGTAAATTCTGCTCTTCCAATTCCAAAACTAGCGATGGATGTCGTGACATCTGCTGTGAATATGTCGCCAAGCAACCAAGAACAAGTTATGATTTCAGGATATTTGACCCGGGGTCATGAAGAAATGAAAGACAAGCCCTTCAAGGTAAGAGATTATGTAGAGCATAAAAAAAATCAGGTAGGATGAGGGAAGGTGAGGAGGAAAGGTGTGAAGTAGTATAGGTGAGGGGTCAGGAGTAAGAGGAGAAAGTTTAGAAGTAGATAATTCCTTTTAATAACTAAAACCATCTTCATACTTAGATTATTAAACACTATAAAATATTGCCCATATAAGGATATTCTACACAATGACAAAAACAGGGGGCCAATATATGTCAGTTATTCATTGATTATATTGATCACTGGGGGACCTGGATATTTCTTTTGACATATTTGATAATTGCTATCTATCGAGGCTAGGATATATAACCTCTTGAGCGGCCTTCCTGGTTGCCTTATCAAGCCTATTCCTAACTAACTGCTACAAGCCCTTGTTAGGACACAGTCGACACGGTTTGACGTAAGAAATGCCTCACGGGAATATAATCAAAACATAACCGATTCCTGTCCCAAATCAACTTGCACTTTTGCGAAACTCCTGGTTGGTGGCAGTATACAAGGTTGCATAGTGTTCGTATAACTGTATCTATGTCTACGAACATGCCTACTTGTATAGTGTTGGAAAATAGGCATTCAAAAATTCGATATAAAAATATTTTTGTAAAAAACTGCTCACCAAAAAAAAAAAAAAAATGACTTAGAAGCTCTCATTAAATACCATTAAATAATATTAATATTAATGGAATGATTAAAATATAAACAGTAGCACTGATGAGAATCTAAACTAACTAAACTAAAGTATGCTAGATTCAATATTATATGATGATTGCATGCAAAAACATGCATTAATATGATAATGTGGTTTCATCTAATAAGGAATGAGCCTTGAATTAACCACATTATTTGCATGAAACAGTAAAAGTTGCAGGACAAATTAAATAAGTTTTTAAAAGTATAAACTCACATAAAGTGATAAAAATAATCATTCTAATAATTAAAGTAATGATAATAAGTATGCTAATAAATAAATGTATTATATTCACATTTATCTATTTCATTTTCAAATCAACAGAGATTAAAACCTCTAGGCCTTGAGCCAATTCTATTGTGGAAGGTGCTCAACAAATGTACTACCATTACCATTAAGTAGTGACAGTAAATACATTTAACAAAAATGTACCAAGTACCACAAAATAGACAATATAGTTTAACTTAAATTTTTATTTTTAAAGAAAATATATTAAAAAGATTCCACATTCACGTTGAATTGGAATAAAATAATGATTAAAGCAATTACTCTTTGTCAAGAAGTTCAGTGCTGACGATAAACTGATAAACCGCAACTTAACAATGTCAGGCGTATTACATTAACATTTCACAGGATCTGATATATCAAACATCACATTGCCATGGAGACCACACATCTGTCTTGTCGGAATAACCCTATGTTTCGTTCATGAATAGGACTGTATATCGTTAAGTTTATCAAGTTAACACATTTAAAAGAATAAAGATATTAATAGTTGTCTGTGATAATAATTGAATGACAATAAGTGTATACCACAATTAATTTAACACTTATAATAAAATCATTGTGTAATCCTATACAAAACCTGCCAACTGCCTATGGACTGCCTGTACAGACAGATAACACCGATGTATATTTATTTCTATTCCTTACCTTCTTTTAAACAGAATATAAATCAATGAATTAGATGTCTAGTCAATTCATTAACAATTTCTTTTTCATGAATTCTATGAAAGGACATAAATGTCCCAATCCACATCAATTAAATATAATTAATAGCTTTTAAATTAAATATTTAATAATGTAATATTGCATAGCTATTAATGTAATATCAAATTTAATTTAAATCTATAATTTGATTCCCTAGTCTCTTGTAGATCAAATGTAGATTTTATCAAATCCAATTTGGTCTACATTAACTTTAAAATTCTTGAGAAGAATGATTTCCCCTAGTAATATTATGAAATTATATTAAAGCACATACAACATAGGTTTCCATTTAACTATATGGAATATTCTGATAGTGCCAAAGGCAAGATGGTAAGATATAGTGGCAGAACTTTCACAGTGCTGCACTGATAAAATTTAACTTTTGACACAATATTTTCGAGGTGACGATTTGATGAGAGAAAGGTGACAACTTTACTGTCATGGCACTGATTTGATAAAAGTATTTTGATGGGTGATGAAATTATGAATTATTTTTCTAACAAAGTTGAACCAATCAAAAAACACATTTCTGATAGTTCAACCAATCAATGAATAGGAGGGGGCAACATACAGAGTGGTGCTTAAATGGATGAAAAGTTCACACGCTTAGAAACAATATTTTGATTTACTAATTTAAAATTGATCTTTCTAATGCTTTGATTGATTTATATCAACTACTGGCAAAACTACCAGTGGGGGATTCAGGGAGGGGGCCCAGCTGGCTTTCTCACCCCCTTGATGGCACTAAAAAAATATTATTATTATATTTCATAACAGATTGATGATGTCAATATGTAGATTAATTGGAGCTTTGTAGCAGGAATTGGCTAATCTACTAAAGATTCTTAAAACAACCAATCAGGATTTTGTATGAGGACATACTGTAAATATGTCACACTAACTTAAATCCCAAAACATTTTAATGATATCGAAAAACACAAACACTGTTTTAAAAGTTACCACCTTTTTTGTAAGTAACAGGACATAAATAGATAACATATGGTAGGCACCCCTTACTTATATCACGTAAACTGACAATAATCTTGGAAGATCCTGGTTGAGAGAGAAATTTGGAAGGGTATAGATTAATCTTGAAAGTCAACAGAATGAATCACCACCAAAAAATCTTATGAATTTTTTTGTATTACCAGTATTTAACTGACAGTGTTTATTTACTGACAACTGAAGAATTTCGTCGTCTGCTAAATTTGTCACTTTTTATATACAATCATCCAGTAGATTAGTTGCCTTTGTATTGTCATCCACTGGCTCTGTTGCTATGGCATTTTGGCAACTGCTAACCTGAATTTTATAAGGCAATTACAACCAATATATAATATTTACACACAAGCTCATACTTGTGGGGGGTGGGGAGGGAGCTTATTTTTTTCATCTAGCTGAGCTCTTTGTAAGTGAACCCTATCTGATCAAACTAACCCCCCATCCCTTTCACTTGGATCATAAACCATCCATATAAATGATGATAAAATTTACCATTTATATGCTAGAATGTTCCAGCACTAAGGGCACATAGAAAAAATTATTAGATAATCACACTTTTTTTAAACAAAAATTTATGAGGGAGGGCGGTTTTTTTTTTTTAGTCGGAACTATAGATTATTTCGCTTTTGTTTTTATCGATGAGGGAGGGACTATTTATATTTGGTCTGTAATAGTAAATATTGTATAAAAACTGGTTTAATTTTATAGTTTTTTAAAGAAAATATATTTGAAGTCACAAAATTGCATTGTTATTTTTATGCTGTTAAAAAAATTAATGCTGCAAAAAAATTTCTTTTTTTATTGCCACATCAATATTTCCCGAATGTTTGATGCGGGCGGGAGTGATAATCTAATAAATTTTTCTACTGGTTCTAAAGTTTTCACCTCCTCAACCTACAACACTCTATTCCATGGATACTACCTGGGCACCTAGGTGCCTCTGCACCACAGGCTCTCATAACAAAATACACCTTAAGGGACCCTGGTTATGGGCCTGACATAGTAAAAGGAAAGCAAATTAGATATGAATTTATTTTATCCTTTTTAAGTAATACTGTCCTAGTAGACAAAACATTAGAAAACACTTTCAATTTAAAAGTTGTGAATCTAAGGAAGTAATAGCACTTGATGATGCATCCATGTCTCACTGAAAAAAAAAACAGAGGAAAAAAAAATGAATACCAAAGGAAGGTCAATAGTTTATGGAACAAAACCGAAATATAAAAAACTTCCTTAATCGTTATTTTAGTAAATAAACTCTGTTAAATCATTAAAAAAATATTTAGAAAAAGGATATAATTCATAAATTGGAATTGATTAGTATAATAATTTATATACTAATATTTATATACATTTAAACGTTAAAATTATTCATCTATAATTGATAGTTGCATATATCAATTTACATGATTTTATAATTGTTATATAAACATTATGTATGCTTAACTTGTAATAGATACTGTAAAATGCATAAAAATTTATACTGCAATTTGGTTGGATGATTTTATCAGGATGACTTATGAATCATGATAGAATAATATTGAAACTATTGATAATACAAATCATTATCTCATTTCGGAAACAGATTTGACTGAAGGAAGTGAGAATTGCAAAAAAGTGTTGTTGGGGGCAAAAATGATGGAATCCAAGAATCATAGAAAATGTCAAAATATAAGGAGAGTTCAAATGCAACAACTTGGGACAACAGTATTTTCTCTTTGATGTGTGATTCATAATACTTTACTATATTAGGATTCATTTCGTTTTGGAAATTTCCAGTTTGTTTTACTCTAAATTCCTTGGTAAAATACCAACATTTTGTCTATACTATGAACTTTTTCCATAATACAAATTCTACACCTGGAATGGTTCAGAATTAATAACGCATGAAGTTTTAAATCAAATGGTTGAGGTTACTGTTGTACTTTTAAATTGGGCCGAATAACAATTCATCAATCATGAATAATAACCATGAAATTTTACGTAATATAATAATTAATTTGCATTGTTTTTTGTTGCTCTCAGAAAAAACACAGAAAATATTATGTGCTTCGCTACAAGGAGAAGGAATCGGCTACAATATATGAATATAAAGATGACAAAGATTTTACAGCACCGAAACCAAAACACACAGTGGATAAAGTACCATTGTTACGGTCTACAAAACTCCATCTGTTTGATCATATTGAGATCCATAAACACAAATACGAAAACATCCTCTGTGTGCTAATGAGAAAAGATATGGCTTTGTACCTTCAAGCAGACTCAAAGTAAGTCTATACACAACATATGAATATTTATGAGTTATGATATATGAATATTTATGAGTTATTATGATATATGATTATTTATCAGTTATAATGTTGCCGAGATAAAGTTAAAATAATCTGCAATATATCAATTACATAAACAATAACAACAATATATTAATACCAATTAAAATTATCAGTAGGAAGAATAACTGAATAAACAATATTTATATATTTTAAAAATCTATTTATGCTCAATCGAAATAATTCACAATGCATAATATGTATTTGATATCAAACTGAAATCAAGTTCTGACAAAAAATTTGGCATCAATAAAAAAAAGTATAAAAAGTAATTTTCTATTTTATTTATAACTTAAAACTGTCATTTATTTTCACCAAATGTAGAGAAATTGCAACACAGTGGTACAAAAGTTTGAACAGTATTCTAACTGATATGGGACACGGAGCCGATGCAGAAGACTTAGATAACACCATACATCGCTCTAACACCGTTCCAACACCAGTCACAACAAAATTCAAGAGGGATGGCCGTAAGTCCTCTCCAGCAGCCATGGAAGATACATTTCATCCTTTAAAGAAAAAGACTATTGAAGTCATTGATGAAAATGCCATTCCAGAAAATAGAACTAAAAAGGTATTTCATTTTATCTTATTTGAACAGCAAATTAAAAACTAGTATCACACTGAAAACATAAGTATAAAAGTCTGAATGGAAAAAGTGATACCAAAATATCTTTGGCAACTTTAAAGTATACTTGGCAAACATTTAATGAAGATCCACTCAGTTATACTCTATAAATTTAAGCTTTGTTTGCATTATCATGTTTTATCTGATCAATGTATGATTTGCCCATATATGGACATGTGTGATTTTCCCATATATTTTCATGTGCCATAATGCCATATCACAACCATATGCAAAACTGGGGTCAGAAACCAGAGATTAGAAGTGTAGCATTTTCTACATCTATATACAGAATAGTACTTTAATTCCACTGTTTTATACAAAATATATATTTTTTTTACAATTTAGGATGATGACAGTGATTATTTAATTCCAAATGTGTCACAAGATGAATCAGAGTCCAGCTCCAATTCAACGTCTCAATCATCCACGCAGGATCCGTCATCTCCAGATTGGAAAAACAATGATGCAATATGCAAGTGCTGTAATAGGAACCATATTCAATGTGGTAAATTTTATAATCAAATTAAGTTAGTAAAAACAATCAGTAGGTTATTCAGTTTTCATATATATTTTTTCTTATTTTATAGAGATATTAAAAATGTTAACAAAAGGTTGGTTCTTCATATTACAGAAGGACCAATGCCAGGTTACATCAATATACATCAGGTTTCAGATTTTAATAAACATCAGAAACAACAACTTGCTCACAAAGAGGCGCTTTGCCGGGAAAGAGACCAATATATGACTCTGGCAGAGGTGTCACGCAAACTCCAAGAGAGAGCGATCCAACAAGGATCTGAACACATTCAAACAGGTTACAATCCCATGAAGTCTCCTTGTCTTCCACAAATGTCAACGAGTCAATGTAACATATCAACAGCAGGGGGTTGGCCATTAATGAATTCAATTTCCATGCCTTCAATACCGCCGCCAACACCCCCCAGACCAAAGAAACTAATGCAGCCTCAGCCGCAAAGTGATTCTGAAGATGATGAGCCTGCACAGACACGCCTGAGACTAAGAAGATCCAGTTCAACAAGTCAACTAGCTGACATTAACAAGTTCATGGAAGAAGCACCCTCAACACCACAGCATGAAATAGATGTCTTTCCACCATCTCTTCCACCAAGAGATTTCATCACTTCAAATGGTAACAAACTGATGCCAGAGCTTCCAATTATCAGAAGCAAATCCCCAACTTCTCGAACTGATACTCGGAGATTTGAAGGTTTGCAAACATCAGAATTCAACTCATCTTATGCACGTATGGGAAGAGGAGTTGCACCACCAACCTCTTTAGCTCTAGAACACAAATCTACTACAGCACATTTACTGACAATTAAATCTCAGTCACCATTAAAGATGTCTCCTCGTTCTCCAACAAGACACTTCTTCTCAGAATCCCCACCTCATTCACCAAAACTTGATGCCTTCTCTAATAGACGCAGATTATATGATCAGGATCCGTCTCGGAAAACATCCATTCCAACACCACCACCATCTCCATATGCAGAAAGAAGGAAAATTTCAGCTACCCAGAGCATAATCAATAATCGCCAACAAGCTGGGTCACCAACCCAGTCGAGGAAATTGAATAAGCTTCGAACACGTGGAGAAGTGACAGCACCAGTACTAGGATTCAGTATAGATTCACAAATGTCCCCTGTCCATAGGTCAGATATTTCAACCATTGATGTCACCGACAGACCTCTCCCACCCAGACCTGAAGGAATGGATGTTGAAAAAATCGTCAGAACCATGGAGTAAGTGAATCATATTTTAATTATGCATATTAAGTTTATAGTAAATAATCATATTTTAATCATGTTTTTTTTTCATTTCCTGCTTTATCACATTATCTATTTCAATTATTGTGCTTAAATTCATTTTAATTTTATTGCTTATTTCAGAACAGTACTTTGGGAAAAAACGAAGGAAGATGGAATTCCAATTCCAATTCTCAAAAGTGACCTTATCGATAAGCTGGCTCTTGTTAAATTTAATGACCTTGTTTGGTAAGTAACACCATACATTCATAATAATATTCATAATAACAATAAAAATAACAACAATAATTATAAAAAATTAAAAGTAAATAAACAAATAAATAACTTATTGTACAGGATTTTATTCCATGGCCTAGCAAATTTCTTATACCCTTTCACATTGACAGAAACATTACAACTTTTAACGATTAATAACAAGTTTGATATCCCAAAATATCTATAAATTCATTTCATACAAACATTGTCAGCCACACAAATACACACTCGGAAGAATAGAAAATTTACATAAATGAGGGTGCTATTTGTTAAGATTTTACTTTATACACTTGATTTTGCGGTGGTAAGTGCATTGTATAATATTTCTTCCTAATGTTCAACTAGATATAAAGATATAAATCTTGATGAAATTTATACTTTTTGAAATCTAAAAATTAAGAAATTTTGTATGTGTAATATTAATATCATCTCAATTCTTGTATTTTATTCAGGATTGCAGGGAAACGAAGTACAAAAGAACGGAGTACGTTGGACAAGCTTCACATTGGTGATCACTTATGGAGGATAAACGATCAAATAGTTGTGGATCCGAAAACGGCACAAGATATGATAAGAACTTCAGCTAAAGAAGAGGTAAGTGCAAGGTTAACATAATGAGGCTAATCAACTTAATGACATCATCAAATTGTGTGGAGTTGTTTTTTAAGAAAGTTAAGTCTTATAGCCTTGTAGATTATTGTACCAATACATGAAGGAGATGTGTTGGACATGGTGGTGCGTGGGTAGCCAACAGTCTATCTTAATGAATATATTAGTTTGTTGCACAACTGATGATAATAAGAAAATACATAATACATATATGTAGGTTGGGCCCTACCTAAGCTGGTGGAACGTTTCGTTTGGGTCTATACCCTAGCTGCACTGATGAGGCCTGAAAGGCCGAGTTTAAGTAGTCAGTGTAAGACCTCTCTGATACTGTAAGTATTCTTTCTATATATAAAATATATTGAAAAGATCGTTTTTATTTAAATATCAAAATGTAAATATACCTTGAAGAATAATATTAATAATCTTGAATTTGAGTCTTGTATGTAAATATTCAAACTATTGATCATTTTAAAGCCAGTTTTGTAATATTTGTGACATATGTGTAAATAAATTTTAAAAATATAAATATAATCAAGACCTGTCTCTTATACACATCTAGATGTGTATCATTGGACCAGCTTAGGTTGGGCCTAACTTAAACAGCCTAGATCCCACCACAAGGGGAAACCTTAACAATGGAGAGGGTTAAAAACAGTACTTTTATGATGGAATCTTGTACATTGCTGTCAACAACAACATTCAGACACAGTAATCAGAATGACTTATATCATATTCCATAAGTAGTTGTACGGTATTAGTTTACTGTATAAGCTAATCTTCAACAGATTTTCTAAAGCCAGCAAAACACTTTACATTTGTGACCATTGGATGATTTGAACTTGTATCCCTTACAATTTGAATAAGTGACTTGAAATTAGCACATCAGAGCATGTAAATTTATTGTTCACTTTTAAAAATACATCCACAATTTTATGATGATACACTGCGATTCAAAAATATACAGTCACACTTGTTAATAAATAGTCAGGTTAACGGTTATAAAGTGTCAAAGGCCAAAAGTACAATATAATATATTGATTTTTATATAACCTAAATTGTTCACTAGTTGCTTCAATAAGTAAACCACATCCCAAATGGTCTTGTGGCTTTTTTCTGACTCTTATTCCATATCCACTTCCAGATATCACAAGGACATTTAGCTTATGATGTTGGTATACAAAAGGAAGTTTTAGATTAATAGTACATGCTTCAGCCCACAAACGATTTGACTTCAAAATCTGAATGCAATCTGTGCATACCTATGAGACATCAAATTCCGATACACTTTGAACTTGACACCCACTCGTAAATTAATTATTGGTGTTTAATTGTTAAATCTCCACACATATCTATGATGAAATACTCTGATGTTGATAATAACAAATAAGTACGTTTTTTTAGTAGTAATAACAGAAACTCCCAGTATAAAAGACATAATATCTTTAACTCTGTATTATTTTTTTTTCTACAAATACATTTTATACGGTATATGTTTTTCTTATGTGAAGTTTTTTATTTTTTTTTAAACAAGCTAATTATTTAACAAACTGCTTTTTATTCTCCAGGTGACACTCTACATTAAGCGATTGCCTCATGCTAAAATTGTGAGAGTCAAAAGATCAAGCCCTACGAGAGACTGGGGAATAAAATGTGTTCAAAATGAGGTACGCACAATATTTTCTTATGGTGATTAGTGGAAGTTATTTTTTTTAATTTTGTAAAACTACTGTATGTAAACAATATCAAATTTGGGTATAACAATATCATCATATATGGATATGACATAACATGATAATGTGGATATATGTGTAGATCGCACTAATTTGTCACATAGATCGCACTAATTTGTCACATAGATCGCACTAATTTGTCACATAGATCGCACTAATTTGTCACATAGATCGCACTAATTTGTCACATAGATCGCACTAATTTGTCACGAACAACTTGCTAGTGTGGATTATTGGTGGACAAAGCTTTTCTTTCTGGGTAATTTTCATGTTTGTGTCTGAAAGCACCAATTTCTTTTACACTGCTGTACAATGAATATTAGTGGTAAATTAGTACTCTATATTATGATTTTAATTATTCATAGCTTTAAAATAAGGTGTGCACATCAAGTAAAAAAACTGATTACCAATAATAATTATTATATTACAAATTATTGTTATCTATGATTAATATACATATTTAACATCTAATTCTAAACATGGAATACTGAATATAAATAATAAATCATTTATCTTTTGATTACAGGTGAAAGCTGTGTCACCAAGTGGGCCAGCATTTGAAAGCGGGGTCACACCCAAAACCAACTGTGTCACAAACAATCGCCTTTGTGACTGGTGCATTACGGAAATAAACTTCAATTGGTTCCGGCTTACAGGGATCGGGAAAGATTCAATCAACAAGAAACTAGCGGAGATTAGCAACCTGGAATTGACACTTATCCTGCAACCTTCGGACTTTATCAAAGAGCTTAAGACACGCATTGAGAAACTTCCCAATGCGCATGTTTTTACGGTGTCCAGATCATAATAAAATGAGACATGGATATTGGAAACATTTTCAGAGCATGTAAAGCTGGGTGCTTACTGAGACCGAAGGTCGTTGGCCGACACGATTCTATGAAGAACGCAACGCTATGGCGCGTGCACAAGAGATCGTTTTTCATGACAATCTGTTCAGACTGCCACCGACAATCAACAGAGGGCGTTGCGTTGTCTAGGGCTCACAGAAAGCGTAGTTGGATTTGTTGGCCGGCGGTGGTACGACCTTTGTACGACACACAGCGAGTGCCCATCTTTATACGCTGTAAATTTCATAATATTTATAATTTGTTTATTGTATTAGGAGTTCTATAAAATTGTATGCATAATACTTTAAATATTTTAAAAACTTGTTATAAACCTGTGTGTATAAACCATATAATTTTCATTTTACATATTTTTTATTAAATAAGTTGCTATTCTATTCCACTTTGTTTAAAAGTTTAAGTAGTCAGTGTAAGACCTCTCTGATACTGTAAGTATTCTTTCTATATATAAAATATATTGAAAAGATCGTTTTTATTTAAATATCAAAATGTAAATATACCTTGAAGAATAATATTAATAATCTTGAATTTGAGTCTTGTATGTAAATATTCAAACTATTGATCATTTTAAAGCCAGTTTTGTAATATTTGTGACATATGTGTAAATAAATTTTAAAAATATAAATATAATCAAGACATGCCACTAAAAAAAATGTTTAATCTCTTAAAATAATTTAATAAAAAATAACAAGAGACACTGCATGCAATCCACATATTTTTTGATTCATCACATAAATATTATTAAATTAATTATTAATTATTATTAATATTATTATTAATAAATATAAGTAAAAGTTTAATGAAAGATATGTAAATGTATATTTATTAAGCAATATTTTCAATGGGCTTAAATCATGAAATAATAATGGGTAAAATATATACCTAACTTAACCGTGCCAAGTTTTTAATTCCTTGTTTTATGTAAAGTTCTTACACTGTGAACGATATAACTCTGACAAGAGTAAAAAAATAAACCATAGTGTCATCCTTAGCAACATTGTGTTTAATAATTAATATTGTCTCATCAGTTTCTTATCATCATCATATATTATAGTTGTATTATGAGAAACATCATTGATTTATCAATAGCATCACTGTCTTAGCAAAATCAGTCTTATCTATCATTGTCATTCCATAATCATAATTTTATGTAAGAATGATGAAATCAAAGAAGTTAAGAGAAGCCTAGTGATACAATATTTCATTCTTTATTCAAACATCAATGATGGTTAAATAAAGAATGAAATATAATTTTATTCATTATGTGACAATAAATTAAAACAATGATGGTAGTGATAAAAAATTATTGACAACCTAGACATGACCAAGCATAAATTGGTAGTCGCAAAGAAATGGATGAATGATGGCCAACTAAGTGGGCAAGTACAGTAACAGACAAATGATGGCCAAGAAATGGATGACTGATTGCCATAATATAATGGGCAAGTGGTGGCCAAGAAATGGATAAGTGATCGCCATAATGAGTGAAGAACTGAGTGATAGCTGAGAATATCATGGACTAGTAATGAGTTGACCATATAATGTCTGACATGTTATAAAGTAATGCAAAAAAAAAAAAAAAAAAAAAAAAAAAGTAGTTGAGTGACGAATGACTGATAAGACATTATTTGAACAGGAAGTAATGAACTATTATAAGGTTATGGGTTAAACCATACTGAGGTCCTAAAGTAGATGCTTAAATGATCATTCTGACAGGTCATGTATTCATCATTACAAAGCAAGTGTAATGTCTTTCACACTATAAGCTTAACAAGGTCATCAGGTACAATTACACCAATTCCATTACAGTACAAATGTTCAATTCATTTCAACATTTGATTGGTACGGATGAATATATAACATGATATCACATGTACATGTCTGGCATACTTATGAATTAGATATAATCTTACCTAATTGTGACTGTGGGGAGCCACAAACCATCAAGCACAGCATTAATGACTGTGAGATCTACAAGTCCCCGGGCGGCATGCCTGGGTTGAACTAGATGAAGAAACCGTTGTTGGAAATGGATCTTCCTTTGTGATTTTGGACTTACAAATCAACAAACGAAGACACTTTGAGAGTCCTACATATCAGCCTAGGTTTTGAGGTTCACTCTCTATAAAAATTGTTGAAGTACACAAGATACACTGCCCTGTAAGTGATTGTTGCAAACAATCAAAAACCTACTACATTCAAACCTCAAGATATGGGTTATGACCACATTACCATATCACATATCATGGTGAAAATATAATATATTTTAAAAAATAATGAAATTTAAAGTGGTCCTAGAAGGTATTTACACTTTTTACTCTAAGTAAATTATAGTCTTTTAATGAAGAAATAGCACTTTACCTGTAATATTATTTTTTTTAAGTGTCACAAAATATTATTAGGTTTTGTCCTTTAACCCTGCATAACATATTTTATTGACCTCCCAAGAGAGAATGTGAATTAGAATGCTGACCCAATATTTGTCCCAGAGGAATCAGCGGGATTGACACAACTAAGTTCTTGTGCTAATCAGACCTATTACCTAAGGGAAGGATTAAAATTGAATTAAAAACTAGTTAGAAGATTAAGGTGAAGATTAACATCATATGCATATCAACTGTAGGACAAAAAAAAAAAGAAACTACAACAAATATAGTAATTCATTTCCAGCATTATATTGGCTTAGTATGCTGCCAACACAATGAATTGAGTATTGTGAATATTTCATTCATTTCATTTCATTTATTTCATCAAACAACAAAAATGCAAAACAAAAATAACAACAGACCAAAAATCCGAGAAGGGATAAACGAAAAGCAAACTAAATTGCTGTACAAATTTTCTCCACTGATTTAAGGAAAAATACATGAAATAAATATTTCTGTTCTATGAAAGTCAAAATGAGCAAAAACAGCGTATCCAAAAAATTGAAAAATTAAAATCTGAAATTTATTCGCAGCGCAGCACAGCACAACACGCACAAAAGCAATGTACTATTACTCTCAAGGAGCCACTAGAAAAACCCAGATGGGTCATTCTGAACCCAAGTGGATATTCTCAAAAACTCCATGGGAATAACAATAAATGACTGCAGTAGCAAAGCGCAAACAGCGACAACAAAATAAGTAATACAGAATGGCTTAGCATATAAGCTAATTCGTAGTTTGAACTGCGCATGCCCGTATCAAGGTCAAATGACATAAACAATCATACATACAACATAGGTTTATGTCGACTGATCTTTGATACGGGCACATGCAGTTCAAACCACGAAATGGCTTACTGAGGCTACAAGTTAGACATTGTGGTGACTGAATGAATTTTATGGAAACCAGGCTAAAAGTTCCATCTACCTTATCTCTATTGTTGTATAATAGCTTACAATTGTGATTGGGTGAATAATACTCGGATATATATTATTATAATTAAATCTTGCGACATTCTAATATCTGGGGCGTACTATTACCTAGAGGATCTGTCTACTAAGAAGTCTACTGTGTCACCTGAAATTGAACTTGTGCGGCTGAAATAAAAGCAAATGCAACATGTCTGTATTTGACATGTGTTTTTCTGAGATAATGCTGCCAGGCTAAAATTAAATTTTTAATACAGATCCATGTTCACAATTTAATTTCTAACATTTCAAGCCAAAAATTAGAAGGTCAACATTTATAAGAATACACACCAGAATTAAGATCAGGTCCAAAAGAGGATTGAATAAAAAATGTTATTAAAAGAAGTGACCGATGATTTACATAACAGTGCTATTCCCCTTGGAAAATTTGCTATAGCGCCCTCTGTTGATAAATATACACACAGATTTTATTATATGACAAATCATGGAAGTTTAAATTTACAGAACTAAACATGTGAATAATAGTTGTATACATAAATACCATGTTTCTACCTGGGTAGACTACTACCCACATATATGTTAAGATTACTATGCAAGCATTGATAGGAAATAAATAAAGCATACATAATGACTGATTATTTGTTAAATTGTATTGTACAAAAGAATGAAAAAATGAAAGTTAATCAAATATCACATTAGAAGGTAGAGTCCAAGTAAAGCACAGGTGGGCAAAGGTGTGGCCCGACAGTGATTTTTTTGCGGCCCATGAAATTGAATTAAAAACCATATGTATGTGGCCTGCCAAACATCTTTTGGTAGAAAATACTTTGTTTTTTATGACCCGACACCAATCATCTGTAAAAAGTAATATTAAAATTGAGAATAAGGTAGTATAAAAACAGTGCATGAATGTTTTTGAAAGCACACTGGAAACATCAAAGTTTGGGTGCGGCCCTCTGTATAAAATAGAAAATTTGCTTTGGCCCTCCAACCGACTTTTATGCCCACCCCTGATGTAAAGAGACCAAGAGAGAACTCCATCAAAAAGATGGACTGGCAACAACAAATCCACAGGGGTTTACTTGGTATTAAAAACATAATAATTTAACAGGAAGCTCAGACAAAACATGGAGGAGAAAAAATTGTCACCTCGTGGACCAATCCTAGGAGGAGGATGACACTAATTAAAGCATCTAGAACTTACACTGAGTGGCGCTGGATTCTTCGAACGGTGGTCATATGACCGTCGTAAGACACAATAGGTGTCCAGCTTAAATGAATTAAGTGACTATTTTACCTCACTCTGGCTCATCCTGGTGGTGTCTCTTAAGACTGTATTTTTCCCAATGCCTGTGATTCAAACTGCTTAAGTCATCCAACGCTGCAATGTCTCTCAGATACCGCGACAGCCGAACTAATTCTCGGTCCGAGTCACGATTTAAGTGAGCCTGTCGGAAAGGTCGGATCTGTAAAAAAAAACTGTTAATTTCAGATGCCAGCAATACAAAAGTGAAAAAAAAAGCAATTGTTTTTTGTGCATAGTTTTTAATGTCTTGTTATTATGCATCTCATTGTACACACCTATTAACATAAGATGAGATAATGTTATATGTTGGAAAAATGTACTTTTAACTAAGATGTAAAAATGAATGTCTTTACTTATATGTTAGATTTTTCTTTGGTTGTTTTAAGACTGGAGAATAGACTCAATTCTGGAGTCATCTGCCATTATTGGGATGGTTAAAACAAATGGTATTCACAATATAACATTTCTTACCTTAAGTCCATTTTGTGGGTTCATAAGAAAATTACGTCGTATATCATCAAACATGATGGTATTCTTGCTGTTGTACTGTTCATACTTCCCCCAGATTACTCCTAATGGTTTCACCTGTCAAAGGTCAAAATACAGGTCAAGGGTTTAAAAAAAAACAGCATGGACCTAAAACAGAAAGGTCCACTGATTAATCTCAGATAAGAAAGTATAATACATACTCTTAGTATTGAAATGCACGCCATCGTGTTGGAATTCAATATTTCGACATTAATTATGTCATCATCAGGAATTATTTATGTATTCTGTTTTCTATATTTTGAGCTTGTTCTAGGAGACGGATCAGATACCTCATCACAATGTGATGATGACATCCTGATGATGACATACAGAACTATACAAATATTGACAGACTTCAAACTGATTGATGATGATGAATAAGAAAAGAGTCATGGAGATGTTAACGATGATGAGGTTGATGACACTGATAACAAAAATATTCAACTATATTGATGACAATACTGATTTGGTGAAGATGGTTATGATGATAGTTATAAATGATGATGGTGTTAATGAGGAAAATAATGATGGTAGTGATATCAATAATGATTATTAATAAGGTAATGTTGTTGATGATGATTATAATGATAATGGTGATATTAATTTTAATGGCGATGATAATTTTTAGTTCACTTACTTCAACTACACCATATTTTGGTGTAGTAACAGATATCATTGCACCACTATCTATGTAGAACACTATCTTATAATTAGGATTCTTAGTAACACCTAGCTCCTGCATCTTAGCTTGAATCCATTTCATACCAGTTGCAGCTGAAAAAAAAGATAATTTAAAAAAATATTTAAAAAAATAGAATTTACTTAAAGCCAAATATTTTGCAATAACAATATAGGTAGTAGTTAAAGCTTGGCACTGATATAGCATTTTCTATGTACAAAATGTCTCACAGTGCTTCATTATATCTCTCAGTAATGCTCCCTGATAGACATTCATAGTCAAAGGGATGGAAAATTCCTGGTTATTGGTGGGGAGGGGGAAGTGGAGTGGGCAGGTAGAATTGCATTTCTTAAAATTAATTTTCTTCTTTTCTGTTCTGTAGTCCATTTTATTATTGTTTTTTTAACTTTTTGTTTGATTATTGCAACAGTCATCATCATCATATCAATTTTTAGTCCATTATTATTCCATGTAAGCATGGGTAAGACAGTGCCGTATAAATTTCTGCTATTATTATTATTCTTATTTTTATTATTATGCATGAATATTTAGTTTAGACCACATACGTTCAACATAGAAAATATGCATCCTAAATTCTACTGTCTACTATTTATACGCCTGAGCAGAGGCAGAGGCAAAGACAAAGTACCTTACTCAAGGACACAAGCGAATAATCACCAAGTGCTTTAAACCAACACCTTATGACTGAGAACTCAAGCTCCACCCACTCTGCAAACTTTTCTTGCTTATGAACTTTTATAGTTTCTTTATTGACTTACACCAAATGACAATATCATAATGTTCATATGCAGCCGTCAGAAATTCATGTAAGTAGGGGCGCATTAATTCAACGGCTGTCTCAGCAACGGAGCGATGATCTAGAATAAGAAAATTTTTTTAAATATCATATAAAAAAATATATATATTGAACTTTGCTTCAACATTTCAGACAAATTAGTAAGCATCATCAGTTGAAGGGTTTCTACACACCAAGGTTATTATTATGCGCTTTATGAATATTCAATGGAGGTGTTCAAACATCCTTGAGCATTTTGTGGATGTACACTTTACAGCCACTTACGGGCTTACACCAAATTTATGACAAACACTTCTATCATACATATAAACCAGACGAATTCTTTATTAAAAACTTCCACTGTAATTTCTTTAAAAAAAAAAAACAGTAAAATGTTTGCTCACCAAATAATGTATAGTCTATATCGAGTACTAGCAGTTTCTTCCCTGGTCTAGGTGGGGAAATTTCCTCGATCTTGTAGTCACGTATTCTCCTCTCTATCTTTTTTAAAAATTCTTCCCTTTAAAAAAGGTGAAAAGAAATAAATAAAATAACTCTGCTGTGTACTAAAGAAAATGATGAACAATGGCAAGATATTAGAAATTACATATACAAATATAATAAATTATTATTACTACTATTATCATTACGGTTGTTATACTTACTTGATACTTGATATAAGTGGGAAAAGTTTGGCAAGCGCCTTTAAGACCCTGTGGCTGTTAACTTCTTATTATTTAACTTTCAATGTATAATAAAATTTACCTATTTTCAGTAAGGATAACTTCATCATCTACATCAAAGTCATCAATAACCTCAGGAACATCTTTGGGCTTTTCATTTGCAGAAGCTATGGTTTCTTCTCGTGTTCCCATCATCATAATTTTCATATTCGTATTATTTAACTTTCAATGTATAATAAAATTTACCTATTTTCAGTAAGGACAACTTCATCATCTACATCAAAGTCATCAATAACCTCAGGAACATCTTTGGGCTTTTCATTTGCAGAAGCTATGGTTTCTTCTCGTGTTCCCATCATCATAATTTTCATATTCGTATTATTTAACTTTCAATGTATAATAAAATTTAAGCTACATAATAATAATAATAATAATAATAATAATAATAATAATAGTAATAATAATCTTATTAAGGCCATGTAAAAAAAAAATAATTGGTTAGCATCCCCTCCCTACCATCAGAGGCCACCGACTCAATTTTTTTTTTTTTTTACAAAACACTCACAAACTCCTTTTATTCAGTAGGTTTGTTTTACCACCTGTCAGCATGCTAGCCAGACCACTTGCAGTTCTACGTATGCTCTACTGTGTTTTATACTGTAGCCACATGGCATCCATGATGGCTGTTGGAGTGAATTCTGCATGATTACATGGAGATAATTGCATTATTACTGTTATTCATAGGTAAAGTTTCTGCTTTCTGTAGATGAATTACATAATTTTTTGTATGTAATTTTGGTGTCTATTGTTTTCTTTTTTGTTTTGCTGGTTTTCCTTGCGACACTCTTTTTTCAGAAAAAAAAACACAACTGGCATCCGCTCGAACCGACATCCGCTCGAACTGACATCCGCTCGAATTGACTGGCATCCCTGAAAATAAGGCATTATTAGCCTTTTATTTTAAACGCCCACCATTTTGTATTTATTTTATGTTACAATTGGTAGCAAAATTTGTTTTGCATTGCCCCATCTTTGTTGAGATCTTTAAATGATGAGGGGCAAAAAAGCAACGCTTCCAGCCTCTATACAAAGTAAACCAAAGTAAAGTATATAGTATAGGTAGGCTAGGCCTAGCCAGGCTGCCACTGCCAGGCAGAGGGCCTAGGCCTCGTAGGCTAGCCCTCTCTATCTAGTTACTAGTAGGGCCTAGGCCTTGACTTAGTATAACGCTCTATCATTACCTTTGCACTTTAAACCAAGAAGTTTTTGCCTTTTAGGCAAAACCCCAGTAAGTGTTTCAATCGCTTCCTTTACATCTTTGATGGTTTGTGTGTCATTTAGATCCGTCAGAACATATTCTTGTCCATTCCACTTTATTGTTAAATTAATGGGCGCAGACATCTTAAAAAATATGCCTCGACAAAAAAGAATAAAAAATAACTTATACGTATGCAAATAAATTGGGTAATTTCAAATAAAAAAGCCAATCTAATTTTAAAATATTCCATCTGAATATTTTGAAAAAATTTTCAAGTTAGCCTTAAAAGTAATTTTCATTTGTTCAAAATTTAGTTAACACAAAATTGTTTGTTGGTCGAGTCCATTCACGAAATCTCAAAACAAAAAAACACTAGGCCTTACCCAGCAAAGAAGCTAGCTCGTCAAAACTGTCCAACAAATCAATCCATTCTGCGCCGTAGAGGTGTCAGTTTTTAGGCCTAGAGACTAGAATTGTTTTACAGAAGTGTTGATAAAGGTTCCTCTGAATTTTCCAATTTACAGCTGGTGGTGTTTTATACATTTCGTTGTTGATTTTGTTTTTATAATGAATAGGTCTACTAGGGTAAGCCCTACTTACGTTATTTATTTTTTTCTTGTAAGTGTAAGTAAGTTTAAATCTTAAATTAGGCTAAATAATTCTTTCTAGGCCTAGCCTAGGCCCTAGGCCAAGCAGAAAGGCCTTATCCAACTCGGCCCTTGTCAACTCAGCCCTTAACCGACTCGGCTCATAACCAACTTGGCCCATACACCATTTCAGATTAAAATATTCAAAAAGCAAGCTGTGCATGCTGTACATGTGTGTGGTTAATCTATTGCTGCTACATACAGTATCCATTATTTCGTGTTTTATTGTTAGGCCTTTTATTATGTTGCCAAACAATTAATGTGGTTTTAAGGAAATCCAGGCATTATTATGCTGCCATTAGTTTGCCAAAACAACAGTGGATTTTATTAGGTTTTGTGTAAGTCCCGTATAAGTTAATGATTAATGATTTAGATGGCATATATTTCGTTTTACCTATTTAAAACAAACGAATGTACATTATATATGCAATCATGTTGATAATCGTGTTGTTTTATCAGGTATTTTGCTGCAAATTAATTAATGTTTTTTTAAGCAATTCAATGGCATTAATACTGCGATGAGTTTGCGAACAAAACAGTGGATTTTGTTAGGTTTGTGTAAGCTAAAAAATCTTTTAAGATTCATATGTTTCATTTTATCTATTTGAAACAAGTAAACTGGATTTTATTAGGTTTGTGTAAGTTAATAATAATGTTTTAAGAATTATATTTTGGCTGGTATGGGCCAAGGCCGTGTAGGCCTAGTAGTATTCCTAGTTAAATAAAAAGGTAAAATAATCACAATCTTCTCATTTCACCCCTTGTTGGTAAAAAAATGGGTGAACATTAATTATTGCTGGTCTGGTACAATACAAAAATAAATAAAAGTTAAAACAAAGTGTTTATTTTGCTAGGTAGGAGGCTATTATTATTAGGTCCTAGGCTATGAAACTCAAATTTGCCATGTTTTAAGAAGTTAAGGTTAGCCTTTAGGGTTGGAGTGAGCCCTCATTAATAACTACATAAGCTGGTAGATACAGGTGTTTTAACCACAAGAATATGATCATTTGTATGGCTGCATGGTAAGGAATATGAATCCTAATTACAATCCAAAATTATTTGTTTAATAGATTTCAAGAAAGAGGAAAAGAGGTTGTTCATCAGATGTAGTTGGCAGTACATCAACAACAGACATCAACACAAGTATCGTAGATTTATCTAATGACGTTGACGATGAACCCGACTCGACAGGAGGTACTATTTCAAAGATAATAGTAAAAGATAAAGCAGTTCGCGATATAGTGGAATGCCCCATGAGGGCATCCATGAGAGCAATTTTCCTCCATCCGAGTGGCGGCGCCATATCTTTGATGGGTTAAGGCGTATTTGACTGGTCCTTTTCCGAGGAGTGATTTACTACTCGGAGCAGGGAACAGTGCTCGGAGTGTGCTCGTTAAAAAACAGCAAGGAGTTTGAGCCGCTCTTGTGAGGAGTTTGTGCAACCAGTCGAATTCGACATGTGCAGTTTGAGTTGAAAGAACTGCTCAAAACAGACCAGTTGAATACGCCTTTAGATAACTCTCTGATACATTTGTTTTCATTATTTTATATTATTATATATCATTATTATTATTTTCTCCACTCCATGAAATAATTTTCCTCCATTCTAGAGAGGGCGGACGTTCCATCAAATTTAATGCAAACTACGCAAAGCGCTCATTCTTCTGCTACTTATGTTCTTTGCTAGTACCTGTACTATTGTAGAAGCAGTTAGGAGCAGTGGGAACAGTTTGGTTTCCGAACCCAGGGGTTGGGTTTCAATCCCTCATTGTGCATTTAACCAGGGGGTGGTAGTGTGAAGTACATTGAACCTCTTGATGCTGTGGTATTACAGTATGTTATTACTAAGGCCAAGGATATGCCAAGCAGTGGACTTAATTACTATTCAAAGTGGCCGTCCCATCACAAGATGGCAGGGGCTGTTTCGAGATGAGTAGGGGTGGACCTCCTACTCATCTTGAAAGATGTACTGGGTTCTTTAAAGTGTACATGAACCAATTGTGTACACTGGGCCTACAGTTTATGTAGTCTTTATCCGAGAAGAATTGTTCCACCTCCAGAACCATAAGCGAGCAAGCCCTTCAAACCAGCCCTGATATTATGGCTGTAGGTTGCGGCGCCCCTGCCTTAACCACTCGCCCATTCAACTTGCCAAAATTTGCTGTTTGAAGCTCTATCTACTCTCAGGCTTTCTGTAACAAATCTGTAATTTGCATACCATATATGGTCATGATGATGTCATCACAGGTTTTTTGTCACATTCATGACACTTTGTAGTGTGGAAAGTGCTTAAAACTTATATGTCCTCTCACTGTATGCTTAAAAACACAACTTTAAATTAGTTTCAGAGCAAGTAGTGATAGATTTAACAATGGAATCACCATTATCAAGTTCTGTGCCATCTCCAGAGGTTGTTGACTTAACACAGCTGTCAGGTTCAACACATCACCGTAAGTAACTATACAAACCTTACAACCTGTAGTTTGTCAGTGCACTTTGTCCACCACATTCTTCAAAAAAAGAAAAAAAACTATAGAATGTTGCATAATACGTTATAATTCTTTAAATTGTTGAATTATAGATTCATCAAGACGACGAAGGTCGTATAAAAGGGGCAGAAAAAGGGAAAATCGACCTCCGTTGATGCACCATAGTACACATATCAATGCTATATCCTTCATTAGTGATGATAGCGACAGTGAGCTTGAGATGCTGCAAATCATCGGTTCATCCCCTACATTAGCAGAAAGGTATTTATTTATTTTTTGTGTCTATTTGACTTGACAAGAACATAATAAAACATTCAGGGACAGCTTAAACTCAAGCTCACAATTTTGCTTACAACTCTCCAAGACTGAGGCTGTCTTTCTTCCGGCTAAGCACCAATACTACCTGTAATTGTTTTGTTGAGCAGAAAAGAATTAAACTTGTATATTTCCCCCTGAATATGACAAAAAATCATAAAAAATAATTTTGAAATTGACTTGCTCATATTGCAGTACATACAAATTATTATTATTCAGTGATGGAAGTGTCTCTATCATTTTTTGCTGTAAAATTATGGGTAAACATTTTTTAAATTCACCAATTTTTTTGTTGATAGTGTATAAGTTACTTTAAAATGAAAAGTTAATTTCAATAATGATTTTTATGATTTTTTTTGTATTTTGCATGGGATAATACATATTTAAGCTTTTGAAGTTACAATACATTGTGTTGGCTGAATTATTATTGAGATTTTTTTTAACTGTTGAGAGCAAAGACAAAGTGTATGCTTATTGTGTTATACAGCATATCAATTGGTATAGAAATGATAGAAGAAAACCTAATGTATCATCAAATACAAGAAGACAAGACATATTAGTGATGACAGAATGAGACTAATACTAATATTATTACTATTTACCACAATATAATAAATAATTCTAGATTTATATAGTGCAAGGTTTATATAAGATTTTTTGGATTTTTAAATATTATATTACTGTACTTCACATGGTGGCTAAAGTACATTACACCCTTGTATACTGTAATTATAACATTTTTCAAACATCATTGAAAAATCTTGTCTTGTTAATATGATATACATGTAGATTTTAGTCTTATATAAATAAATCTACATCTGTATCTATGAAAAGGGTTTTGAAGAATAAAACAGAATGTTTTAATGTATTTTAAGTTTTGCCTTTACTCATTATGTGACTGGGTATATTAATTATAACATTTTTCAAACATCTATGATCTTGATGATATGATATACATGGAGATTTTGGTCGAATATAAGAAAATCTGTATCTATGAAAAAAGGTTTTAAAAAATTTAAAACAATTTATTTCAAAGTTTTGCCTTTTCTCATTATTTGACTGGGTATTTTTGGTAATATAACATAATGTTAATACTGAATTTTTTAGGACAGAAACATTAAACACATCTGCTGAAGATGCCTTATCACCGACAATGCGCAAAGAAATCGTATGTCCCATTTGTATGGAAAGTGAGCGACAGGTAGTGTCAATTTTATGTTGATGAAATTAACAATCATTTTTGTTTTCATTTCTTCATTTTCATGTATGCAGTATTAACTTCATAATTTTATTTTATAAAATAATTTCATCAGTTTTTGATGTACTTTGATATTGCATTTTTAAATTATAATTTTATATCTAACAATATATTTTATATATTCAAATTTATTTCAAATATTGGTATTTTGCAGATAAAACGTAGACGACAGTTGGTATCCACTGTGTGTGGTCATATATTCTGCAATAGTTGTATCACAAACGCGGTCAAGACACAGCACAAATGTCCCACATGTAGGAAGAAATTAACATTAAAACAATTTCATCAAATCTTCCTATAATATGGTGGGTAGGATACATCAACTTTGAAAACATGACTTAAAGTAGTTACAAAGATAGGATTTGAAAATTATCAAAACAGCGCCCTCTATCATTCAGTGCTGTATTGTATACAGCACTATATACAGTAGTGTATAATTAATACTGTTTACTGTAATAATCAAGTTTGTTGTTATACTGATTGAGGTATAGACATATATAAAGTGTTGGCTCTGCAACACATATTCTGATATGTAAAAGCTCTTCAACAATTTCCGGTGAAGACCAGTATCTCCATAAAACAAGAAAAAACTGGAATTTTTGGGCAGTTTAAGCTGTCACGAATATATTAGAATGTTATACCCAAAGAATTTGATTGTGTGTGATTACTTCTTTTGTTTGGGACTTAGTTGTGTAAATTGTTTAAGCCCCATGCACTGGCCGATGCCACCAGTTAATATACAGTGCACTGCTATGGTGTAATTGTTATATGTTTGGAGCGTGAAGCTAAACAGTGTAGTAAAAAGTATAATACTGTAGAAACAACACCCTATTATATAGTAAAATTTCATACAAACTCAAAAATTTATTTAGAAATTATGTAATGGCTTTATTTAGTAGAGTTCTCTCTTACAGATTGTATAATACTGTATAATATTCTACAGATCAATAAGGAGTTTGCTAATAAATGGGACCAAAACCAGCATTAGTAACTAAAAACAAGAAAATTGACTTTTTAATATATTCAGATTCTCCATATTATAAGCTTTAAAATGATGGTCATTTACTGGAATGTACATGCTATTGCCAAAGTTATGAGTAAAAGTATTATATGGCTTCTCTGTACTGAAGTATACAATACTGCCACATTTTTATGGACTTGTAAAAAAGCATATTAATGGAAATACTGTACGTATGTTAGTATGTATGTCTATACAAGCTTGTCAGTTGGTACAGAATATGCATGAAGAACGCATTTATAGTAAGAAACTCAAAATTATTTGCTGCGTGTTACTAGCCACTCACCTTAAGAATAGTAGGGGTGGATCCAGAGATGTCCAAAAAGGGGTGGGGCCAAAAATGGGGCTGATCAAGGCAACACTGCCCTAGGGAAGTCTTTGTTTTCTAGATGCCCGAAAATAACCTCTAAAGCATTTTAGGTGATCAATTTTTTTTTTTTTTGACTTTCCAAAAGGGAGTCCGACCCGTCCACCTATACACATCTAGATGTGTATAAGAGCCCTGAACAGCACAGCTCAGTTGCTAAAGTGGTGGTAGCCACTGTGTGTACAATAATTCTTTGAAATCCTTTGGTACCCGGTTTAATTCCATCCGGTGCGGGCTGAATTGCAAGTAAAAAAAGCGCACCGTTCTTCGGATGAGACGATTAAGCCGTGTGCAATATGGTTCATGTGCATGTTATAGAACTAAGTACACTCTTCGGTAATAAGTAAGGGATTGTCTGCTGGGGTAATGCCTAATCACTATTATAAGGACTCCACTGGAAATAAGTCTTTCAGATTTTCATGGGTTTATTCTTGGTGCTCACGAAACCAAAGTATAAAATTATTTAAATTCTCTTTCTAAGTGCAGAATGTTCTCACCAATGATTTCATGGCGAGTCTACATGTTTCTCTAAAAAAATCTGATTACCAAACTCCTTATTAAGCTATTTATGTAATAGGTGTTACATGCAATATTTTACAATGTTATACTGTCTATACTTAAAGAATGTATTCAATTTTGATGCAGCAAATAAATGTTTTGTTTGATCAAAATACTCATGTTCATGTCTTTTTATTAGTGTTGATAATCTGCAAATTCCTGATACAGTAATTATAATACAATCAACAACCAACATGATTCCATACTGTAAATGTATAGGTGCTAGCTTGTATGATAGCAGATTGCCATGCGCATCACACACGAAATCAACAATTCCAGTGCGATTCAAAACAATGACTAATTCTAAACTTGCCATTGGGACACTACTTGTACAGTAATTGCTTGTTCTGCTCAGGACAGGGATTTTGCCGTCCTGGCACCATGACCCGGGGCCCTTTCCAGCTTGGAATCACTTTACTTTAATCTGCATTAGTGTTTCTATCACTCAATCCATCCTACGCCTATGTCAACCTCAATACCATCATCATTGTCATCGTCATAATTATCGTCGTCATCACCACCAACAAGAATTAACTTCAGGCCCATACCGGCAATCTGTTATTCAAAACTCTAATACAGTACGTATTCACTGTAGTAATACTTCAGTAAAAGATACAGCCTGATCGATCAATTTATAAGCATCAAGGGCCCCGACTGTAATCTCGAACCAGGGCCCTTCGGAACCTAGTTACACCACTGGGTCTAAGGCAGTACACTCTTTGGAAATAAGTAGGAGATTGTCTCCCAGTGTAAAGCCCAATCACTACAATGAGGACTCCATTGAAAGTAAGTCCGTAAGTCTGTCAGACACCTCTAAATGGCCTGAAATAAAATTACAAATAAAAAATAAACTTCACTTGTAGGCATAATTCAAGACAATTAATAGGTTAATTAAAACATGCATAGCATATTGTACCCCTGTGTATTCATAACACGTTTTATTTAATTAAGCCTACATTTTTTTTTATATGTATTTTACAATATCCGTCAATTTATAAATATGATTAGGCCTACAGTCATATTGCATTATTAATGCGTTTGTGTTTCTTTCGTTTTACGTATTCATCGAGGAAAAAGCATATAGCCCTTAAACCTCATATTGAGATTTAATTGTGTAAAAGCATTGTGTTTGCTTGGGCACATATCATTTTTGGGGGGGGGGGGCAGATCATGGCCGGAACACATCCCCCACCACATATTTTTAAGGAGGTTGGTCCCCCTATGTTTCAACCGCAATGTAATTTCAAGTAAAGATGATGCCTGGAAGTAATTGAAACGACCCAAGTTTTAACGGAAAAGCGCTGTACAGTATTGTACATCTTTATATAGCAAGATATCTTTATCACTAATGTCTGAATTACTTATTTATTTTTTCATTTTTATTTATTCTGGTATAAAAAGACTCAAAATACAATTCAAGATTGAAATGAAGAGCTTACATAAAATCAATGAAGAAAAATACAGAAATATAAAACCAGCAATAAACATTGGAGAAAAATTTAATTATTATATTACTCGACAAGAGCGTGCATGCTTTTGTTATAATTTAAGAAGTATGAGAAAAAGTATAAGATTTTCGGCACACAAAGTAGGTAAAGTAAATACTGTACAATTAAGTATTATTTTTCGTGGTACAACACAGATTAAGTAGATCTCTATGATAGCCGAAAATCGCTGATAAAAGATCATGGTGATATTATGATGATGAGTTTTACTAAATTTAAGAGTGTCATTTACGGCCAGCTTTCTGCTTGAGGTATTATTTCTTCCCACCTCAGCCACAACAATGGCTGAGGTGGGACTCTCACACATTCCCGACTGCCAAATCCTGAATCCGCCCCAGCTATGGTACATTACACAGGTCATTTTGTTATCTGATTGCCGAAAATCGCTGATGAAAGATCATGAAAAATTTGTTGGTTCTTCATTCTGACTACAATGGTGTTGTGATGATGATAAATTTCACTATATAAGAGTGTCATTTCTGACCATCTTGAGGTACTATTTCCTCCAATTTTCAGTTTCCATCTATAGTAATTATTATACAAGATACAAGATACAAGTCAACTTTATTGTCAAAATAATACATTCTGAGATATTTGTTGTACATGACATAGAATCGTTCATAAACATATAGAGTGTTAAATAAAGATTTCTTAGAAAAT